TGAACACCCTGACTGCAGGATGCAGTCACAAGCAGAACATGAGACTAAATGGCTGATAATAACAATACCCTAAACAAAAGTGCCTGAGAAAAGGCCTTAGAGAAACATAAGGTTGGCCCTGACATCATTGTCATTATTATTATTATTATTATTATTACTTTATATTTTGTTCTGTTTTTTTTTGTTTTTCAAGTTGAAGTGCATTTTGCTGGTGCCGTGGAGCATAAGGCACTTGTCCTGGTTTGAGGTAAAACAGAATTAATTTTCTTTTCAGTAATTTGCTTTTCAGCTAAGCCTCTTCTAACTAACTGCAGTCTCTGAAATCAACAGCTTATTTTTCAGTGTCTGCTTCTAGCAGAGATAAGGCCTGATATTTATAGTTAATACCAAGGGATGGTACACAGAGAGGGTTCTGCTTGTATTTATGGCTATAACAACCAAGTTCAGCTAACTTTGTGACCTACCAAGTTGGAGGGTCAGAAGTGGAAGAGCACAGAGGGGTCCCACCTGTGGGGAGGAGCAGACAGGACAGAGAACCCAAAACTGAGCAACAGGGTATTCCATCCCATCTCCCTCATGCTCAGTATAAAAGCTGAGGGATCAGAGGGTCAGCCCTCTTTCTTCAACGGCCGTTGGCTGAGGAGGACTCTGTCTGCCTTGGATCCCAATCCATGCATTCCTGAATCCAGTTCCTGAGTTCAGCTCCCATCCATTGCTTATTCCAGTCTGGTCCTTTCGCAGTGCCTGCTGGTGATGTGATTGTCATCCTGGGAGCTCGCTATGGTTTTGTGTATATTGTGTATATTTCATTATTTTCTTATTAACATTATTATATTTTCTTTTTTATTATTTTATTATTAATATTTCATTAAAGCGGTTTAGTTTCTTTTCAACGTGTAAGTCTCTCTCATTCTTCTCTTACTCGGGAGAGAAGTTAGAGAGGATCTGTCAGCCATTTTATTTGCCAGTCCAGCCCAAACCTTGACAGCACTGTAAACAGGATGATTTTGTTCTCAGTGCAGACAATTAATATTTTTATCAATGTTCTTGAAGCGAGTCAACTACAGAGTTTTCTCATCCACATTTTTTTGCATCTGAGCAGAAAGAGCGTGCGCAGCTGTCAGGGAGAGATTTCAGGGGAGCTGAACTTGGTGGCTGCATACCAGATATTTAAGGAGTTAGGTTTAGTGAAACAGCAAATGTAAAACATTTTTAATTCACTGTCAGTGTTTCCTGTTTCCAGTGGCAAGCTGCCTGATGGAGGACCTAAGGTAGCCTCAACCCCACACCTCTTCACATGCACCATCCTGCACAGCCCACGTTCCCAGACATGATTTGATTATGCAGCTGTACAGACTGGCAGGGAGCTTCTCTCTTAGTAGAGAATCCCATCGTCTTGCTACTGCAGTGAGGAGCTCATACCTTTAGGAGAAAGTACCGCAAGTACCTGTCAGCTAAACATGCTAAAGCTTGTTAGCTGACAGCCATGAGGTTAGCAGTGAATATTTCATAAATATTGAACAAAGTACCAAGCACAGCATGAAGTATTGAGTGCAACTTCAGACACTATCCCTGGAATATATGGTTGCGCAGAATTTTATAAGTTTGATGTAACTCTAGTGTTGGATGTAATTACAGTCATTAAAGCTGGTTGCATAAAATCCCTATTTAAGAGAATAGTCTGTATTGAAGATTTATTTTGCTTAGGCATTTGGGATAAACAGCACTTCTTTTCAATTATTTTCAAGGTAAACCCCACCCATTTGCAAAAGAGGCAGTAGATCAAATAAAATGGCCAAAGTGCGCAAACTCCACTTGGGATTGAGCTGAATTTTCAGAGGGCTCTCCAACTATGGCTTAGTCTTGTTCTGTAAGATAGGTTTGCACGAGGAGGGCTCTGAAATAGAAGAGATCACGTTAACAGCCCTTCCATTGTAAGCATAGTTACATTGGAAAAGCTTTCATTACGGAAAGTGTGCAACCTCTGAATGGACCCAGCTAAATTAAAGTCATGCAGGCTTGTTGCTATAATGGCATTACTACTGGGAGCATCCATGGAGTGATATGGATCACACCCCGCACCTCTCTGACCCATGTCATTATACTGGTAGAGGCCATCATAGTTGTGCTGAGAGAGCAAAATCCTGTTAGCCCTTGGGCACAACTTATTCCTAATATGGAATTTTTAAAGGCTGAGAAATCTGATCCAATTAACACATTCTTGATTTTGCAGAATACCGTGCTAATTACATGCAACCAGTCATTGCTGGGTTAATTAAACATTCATCCAAAAAACCTACAGCACTAATCTAATTAGCAATTACTACAGCTGTCATTACCTCTTTTCACCTACTTTTAAGCTGTGCAAATTCACACTAAGAATCTGGTCCTGCAAACTCCTTACATGAATAGCTTTCTTTGACTGCAATAATGCTTCAGCACACAGGAGGAGGAGGTTTAAAAATTAGGCTGAATGCTTTACAGTCCACAATATAGCTTCAGTTCTGCCATCCTTATGTGCAAAGGTCACAGTTTAGCAATCAGTCATGTCAAAATTACAAATTTTAAATTTAAAAATTAAAAAATTTAATTTAAAAATTTTTCTTTTTAATTGACTTGTGATCTTACTGGGAGTGTATGTAGGTCCTACCTTCAAGTGGTTCTCTGCAAGTATCAAGCCTAAAATATACCTGCATTTCAGAAAAAAAAAAGAAAATGCAAACATTCTTACAATCCATACTACTTTAAAACATCAGTGGTTAGAAGACTCAGAGGATGTAGCTTTTTCAGATTAAAAAATGAAGTTGCGAACGAAGAGAAAAAAGTTGGGAACTTTGATGCTTTGTGTGCTTTTCTTCCTTAGGCTTGATTAAAAATGAACACTAGTAATCACAATAACTTACAAAGGTTTGATCAGGTGCTGAGCTTTGAACATTATGATAAGACAGGGAGTTGTTATCTTGGCTTTTCCACTTGTATTCAGCACGCTTTAACAAAGCAGCAGTCTTTTGGGGCTGACTGTGCAATTGGACATGCCCAGTGAGGAGGAATCTCTACTGGAAAAAGCATGAGCCGTAAAGAATTACTTTGTTCTCTGGAACTATACGGTTGCTAGCTGGTGCTGCTTTGCCTGCTGGAAAAACTTTTCTTTCTTTGGTCATAGCCTAAGCCCATTCATGCTCAGTGCAGCCGAACAGGTGAAGGTATATTTCTGAATCTGGGTGCTAGTTTGTTGCACCGGCATCCTGAGAATACTGATCAGCATGCTCAAGCTAGAATAAATATTAAGTTAAAATAAGTATTTCTTTTATTGCATTCAATACAGGGATGATAAGACCTTGATAGCTTGTTACTTGGAATGACATCATATATCACGCCATAACATACAAACAGCTCTATGCAGTTTGCACATCAGTCTTACGTGTAAAAGGATAGAAAGAAGGCTTTGTTCCATTTTAGTATACAATTTTTATTATTTAAAAACAGGTTTATATATAATGAAAGATAACTATACACTAATCTTCAGTTTGTTCACTGCAAGTGACCTGCAGGAGCAAACAGCTATTGCAGCAGTTCAGATTCAGTATCAGAATATCGTCCAGAGGCAATTTTCAGTAAATATTTAACAGGGGCCTTGCACTCCCAAAACCATGCTGACCATATTTTTTGACAGGATATTCAGACACTTGTGCTCACAGTGCAGTTCAAACACAAGGAATCCTTTACCCAACCCTTGAATTGACCAGCTATATCAATACTGATTTCCAGTACCCCAAAAAAGACCTGTGGACGCTTTAACAACAGGGACCCAGGTCTCAGAGTCTAGCAATAGCAGTGGACCAGATTCCCGGGGGTTGCTGAGGGAGCTGGGTTAGAAATAGGCTGAAGTATAGTTGCTGGAAGCTGATCACTGTCTGGTGTGCCAGGTCTGCAAGACAAATCCAGGGAGAAGCAGCTGGAGAGAGCAGAGAAAGCAGCAGTTCAGCTGACAGCCGCCGGTGCTGTGTTGGCTAGCACCAGACTCAGACCTTCCCTAACAGGGAGTTTTCTCAGCTCTTCCTGTGAAGCTATACAGGTATCACCATGCTGGTAAAATCCGTCTGCAGATTTTCTATTGGACGAATGCCTTCTTTGCCTTAGTTTAGGTGTTGAGAACATTACTTAAACTGTATCTTGGTGTCACTGACAACATTAAAATTCATCAGACTGCAAAACGTGCATTGTTTTTCCACAGTAAAATTACATAATAATAATAACAATCCATTCATTTGTGATGGGTTTTGTGAGATTATAACATTTTTTATATTTTTTTTCTCCTTTTACTTTCAATTAAAAAAAATCTGCAGAGCAAATGCAGGCGTGTAGCAGGAGAGTAAGTGGTTTCTATGGCAAAATATCCTTTCAAACCACTATCTAAATGTGTAAATTGTGAGTTATATTAGTTTTCACAGGGAACAGAACTCCAGCTGGGAGCAATCAGGATGACCTTAACTAGTCACAGCTCTCCATCTGCCTTATGTCCATCTATATTTTACACTCTCCAGCCACTATCTTGATGTAAAAGTAGACCTCTTTTTGCAAGCAGGAGACTAAAGCCTCATCTGTGTTGCCAATAGAGCTATATTGGCAGTCTCTGCAAGCAAAGGCAGTGTAAACCAGCCAACACATTAGGGTTTTGCATAGATAAATGATGCTAGTTCTTGAGCTGTTGTTTACTGGCATTCTATAGACAGTGATAGGAAGGGTGGAAATTTTTTTAAAGGTTTCCCTTGTTAGATTAAGAACTCTACACATAAACCCAGTAATCTCACCTCCACCTCTTTCAACAGCTGCAAGGAAACATCTGTTACATTGTAGGTAAAGTTATTGTTGAAGCAGAGAAGCAGTTCAAGTAGAAAGTCTACATCTTTAATATTTTTGTGTAGAGGTGTGATGTTCTTTGGTGTTTTTTTTTTCATTGGCAAATTCTTATGATGAAGGAGTTAAGTACTTTGCACAGGTTAATTGTGCTCATGTACATTTGCATGCAAGTCTGACAGTAGAGATCCAATTGCAGGGTCTTTGATCTTCTGAGTCTCACATTTACACTCTTCTACAATCATGACTTCTTTGACCACTGGGACAGAACTGGTGCAGTTGAGATCCAGGCGCTTCATGGAGAACTTGCTGGGCAAGCAATGAGAACAAAAGGTGTAAAGACGATCTTCTGGACCAGGAACATGAAAGGAACTACATTTTCCAAAACACAGATTATTCTGTACCATCACCTTCTGACAGCTCTCATGAGTAACACCCTGAAACAGAAAGCAGTTTGAAGTTCCTGGTACATGAATGGCCCATAGACTTTTCTAGAAGGCATGAAAGCAAAAAAAAAAACCCCAAACCCCAAAATACTGTATTTTTTTCTTCTCAGAACATTTACTTTAAACAAGTTTATTTTTTATGTCAAGCAAGCAGTAAAACATAAGAGCTTTTAAAAGCAAACTTTAGCACTCATATGGGTAATTCTTAGATTGAGCAACTAAGGAAAAATCTGCTTCGATCACAGCCTTTGTGAGCTGGTAGGGAAAATGGGTGGGTTTGTCATATTTACCTTTTAATTCCTCTTTGAATTCTACATTTATGACATGGTTAAGCAGTCTTACCCACTTCGCAGGACTTAAAACATCATTTTGGCCCAACATTCTTATATATAAACCACAAGCTAGACACCACTGTAATCTTAAAGGTTTGCCTGCTTGCTTAGGCTAGGTGAGAACATCTTTGCATAAAAAGAACAAATAACATTCTGAAAATTGAACACATGTCTTTCCACTGCTGAAATTTAGCAGTTTGCCTCATCAGACTAAATCTTTTTCAGCCTTTTTCAGTGGTGCTTTTCAGCCGCACATCATGTGTGAGCATTCTGAAGTGGCACTGTGACCTAGCAAATGAACTAACCTGTATGTCTTTAGGTGCTAATTACAAGAGGCAGGGAAAAGGACATGTTTATTGATCTTGGACACCTGTTCTTACCTGGGAAAAAGGCAGGGTTCTGCAGTTTTCTAGGTGCATTTCATTGGTCTTGATTGGCAGAACAATCTCCTCAGATGCTGAATTTTTCTTTAACATGAAGTGGTCCCAAAATTTCTTGGCATCTTTTCTATAAGGCGGATCAGCCTCCCTCCTGTTGGAATAGTGGGATGGAGAGAAGTTTTCCACAGGAGAGATCTCTTTGGGTGCTGCCAAGCTTCTTGGGTCTTGGTCTGCATGGGGTTCTGCATTGGGAAGGATGAATCTGGATGTTTTTTTCTCCTCTTGCTTCTCACTTTCAGATGCCATCTGTGGAATTGCTACAAAAAAGCTTGGTTCTCCCAGGGTTTCCTCAACACCTACTGGGTTTTCCCCTACCAGCTCATGGAAGCTCTGACTTTCAAGCAGATTTTTGTCCAGATAGAAAAGATGCTGAAATGGCCTTCTGCTTTTCCTTCGCGGTGGATGTCCCTGTGCCTCTGTGGCTCCAAGACATGAAAGCACTAACAGCTGAAGGAGAAGCAGTGACATGATCCTGTAAATTGCAACCCTGTAGACCTGCTGCTATTGCAGTGAATGTAGTGTGTTAGCTTTATACAAGAGCCTGGTGTCAGCTTATGGCTGCTGTCGGAGGGGAGGGCCCAGGGGAGACCCTGGTGTGGTTAATTGCATTCATTTACTGTAGATTACAATTATGATAGGGGAGTTTGTGCTAATGAAACTCTGCTTTCAATCTGGATTATGTGTATTAGAAGTTCCTATCTAAAATCTAGTAACCCAGGATGGTATGGGGGACAGAAGGAGTCAACAGGAGGAAATGTTTGGATAAGCTGTCTAGTTTAGGCATAGGAATTAAGGAAACATTTGAGGTTGTGTATTAGCATGTTCAATGTGGTCTTCTGTGTTTATTTTGACTTTCCATTCCACAAAGCTGGAGACTGTCAAAACAAGGAGTGTTATTTCATCACAACAGGAAAAGGCAAGCTGATTAAAGTTTGCTAAAACATGAAGCTGGATCTGGTGACATCAACTCAGCCCGTGTTTTCAAAAGTTGAGTCTAATTTTGGTTTGTCAGATTTGGGATGTGACCCAATGCCTGCAGCAGCACCACCGCAAACTGGTACTTAAATGCCCGGAAGAACCTGGCAGAAAGTGCTAGCCCTTACTTCACCTCCTTCACAGCAGGTTAGCAGCTGCTGGAGTGCAGACACATCACTAGCCCAGAATAAAAGGTGTCAGGGTGAAGAAACTCTGCGCCCCAGGTTCTCAAAGATTAACTCACACTGCTATGTCCTGTTCAGGCACCAAAGCCACTACAGCATCCTATAAAGTTGGTAAACAAAATCAAGATTTAAGCAAAACATGTTAGAACTGACATATTTTGTGATTCTAGACATCAATGTGTCAACCAAAATATCTAAAGACTACTAGACCCTAAACTGGAGGTGTCTTTTGCAAAATTATCAAGTTATATAAGATGTAAGAAAAAATGTCTGATAGAACACCATACAGAGGAAAGTTGTAGGAGAAGAAAAAAATGTTTTCAATAAACATCACAAACATAATCTGAAAATACTAAAAGGAAATTCTGCTTCAGATAATTTGCCTTTTAGGTATTCTGATCCCTACACACTCCTGTTTCTACCAGAACAGTCTATCAATAGACTCTAGAGTTTGTAGCTATTCTGTTTGTTAGCCTTGAGAACTTAGGTGGTCTGTACTAGATGTATGGAGTTATTTGACTTTCATTTCTGGGGAGCTAGTTCATTGCCTGGTAATTGAAGTAAACTAATTGCCTAGCACAATTCTGTGAGGCCCTGACTTATAACTTTAGCACAGAGTTAGTGGAAATCTAGAGCTTTTCCTTTCTGCATAATTCAATTGAGTTAAAATTTGTTCTAATCTTGAGGTTCATCCTGAGACAGAAGTGCATGGAGCTCCAGCAAGAATGGGGTTCACACACCAACATTAGAGTGTATTTGTGCCTTGACCTCAACAGGATGATCTCATTAAGGGAAGCACAGCCATCAAGCACGAGTTTTATTGCTCTGTAATTTCAGCCAAGAGCAATTTAATACTGCTACTGGTTTGGTGCCTTCCTGAAGTGTTAAATGTGCCCTGGGAGGGCAGATTCTCCCCCAGTTGTCAGGAGTGAAATTATAAAAAAATATAAGCATCTGCAACAAGATTGGCACTGAGGTGTGCCTGCAAAAAGTCCTTGCATCATATTTGCACATGCACGTGCAGCACTAGGGTGAAGCAACAATGAGTCAAGAGGATTAATTTGATTAAGAAATTAATTAAGTAGCCTAGAAGTGCAATTTGAATCCTCACATCCTATCTTTATTGGCCAAAAAGTTGAACTGAATCAGTTGACCTTTGGAACTTAAATCCTTGTATCATGTTCATGTTGGTAGTAGTCAGAATTATTCAGCAAAGATAAGGACGTTACATTTTGAGTTTTCCTTCTTTTTTTCCTCTTTATTTCAGTTGCTCAGAGAGTTACAAGGCTGGGCTGATACTCAGACCTATGTATTATCTTGTATTATAATGACATAGAATGGTCTGACACATTTGGCAATGTCTTTCAAACATGAGATTTGACTGTTTGAAGCAACGTATATTTTTGCAGCTCTTTGCTTCAGAATTTTAAAATGTAATTCTAACTTAAACAATTTAAAGGTGATTCCTTCTCGATTATAACAACACAACAGAGTTGTTCTTTTTGTTTGCTTTTATCTGCTTCAGCTATTTTTCACTTCCTTTGCCAGCAAGTGCCTTTTCTCAAAGTCTAGACCAGCGGTATACCACCTCTTTCTGTTTAAAAGTTCCAGCTGTGGTCTTGATCCTGTAATGTCTGTATTTAGCTTTATCCATATAAGCAAAATTGCACTAAATTACTCACATGTATGTTTACAGAATTGAAAACTAAGTGCCTAAAAGGCCCAATTTACCTCCCTTCAAAGCCTGCTTAAAAAAAAATCCCAATACCTTCAAGGTAAAAGATAAAAGGCTTTTAAGTCTCAGTTAAAATTCAGATCTGCCCTGAAAGAAAGAAACATGTGTATGTGTGAAGGGGTATTTTGTCCTTCTTATCTGATGTGACTGAAGCATGCTTTGGTGCCCAGATAGAATGTTAGTTTCTGCCAGAGGGTTCTCTTCTTTGTAGCAAGAATATGAGCAAAATCATTTTATTACTGCTGTTTACAGAGGGTTCTTTCTGCAGCTCTGCACAAAGAATGAATAATGTTGCAAGCAGCAAATATGGTACAAATGATTTAAGGATGTCTCTGTCAGTGCACAGATAAATTAAGTAAATGGTAGTATTGGAATGATTGGGCTGTGCAGAAACTTCTATCTAAACTAAACTGGCCTGGGTTACTGGTGCAGTGTAAATATTAACAAGGAATGTGTGAAAACCTTAGTATTGGCATATATGTATATATGTCAAGCTGCTAGCATTATATTTGCAGTGCAATAGCACTGAAAAAACTCGTTCAAGATCAGGTTCCATTCATGGTACATACCGTTCTATCCTGTAGAATACAGCAAGAAAAAAGGCCTGCCTTGTAGGGCTTCAGGTGTAAAAGCACATAATATTATCTACAGAAGGGTAGGAAAGGAGGCTGAATCAAACCAGTGTCAGCAAGTGACTCTGTAAGTCACTGCCACCCAAAGGCAGAAACCAGAGCTCTCTTCTCCTCTAGGTCAAGCCAGTTGTGGTTCCTGTGTTTTCCTGGATAGTTTTACCTAAGATCTGCTGAGAGCCAAAAAGCAGAACCAGAGCTGGTTCTGCCAGGCCAGTCTAATACTATTCCTCCATGCCTACAATAGTAAGCTGTGTCTGCTTTCCAAGAGACAAAGTTGGTAAGAAATGGGACTGGATACATCTGGGCAGTTTGTTCTATATTTACACATGTTTTAAAATCTGTTTAAAACTAAATCTCTTTTGGAGTCAGCTGCCGGTATAACTGTTCACAGGTAGCAGATCTGTCCTCAGCCTCTCAGCTCATCCAGGTGCCTGCCTGGTTTGCGGGAAAGCATCCCAGCTCAGACATCGAGTTTGGAGAATCATTCTGATGTTAAAAATAGTAAGTATTTGTAAGTGTCTTTGTGGTGACATCAACTGCATAGACTAATAATTGACAATAGAGATTGGACTGGGCACATTATCATTATGTTCCAAATGCAGCTAATCTCAGATTTCTACAAAGAGCAATGCTTTATCTTTTATAAAAACTTGTTTTCCTGCCTGATTACCCTTTCATATAAGCATAGCACATGTTTTCAATGTATTTTGGTTGTTAAATTTTGTGGCTAAATGCAGCGGTGTCTTTCAAGCCGGCTTTGATTTGCCTTCATAGTAGCAATTTATTCGGGACATTCTGTTTTCACTAGAAATAGTCACCGTGAATGTTTGCCCATCCTTTCAAAACTGTCAGGTCTATAGATGAGAAGTGCTATGCAAATGCAAAGTGGTATTATTCATTTGTTTCAGAGCCATAGTTTATTCAGTCATTATGGATATAAACTGAGTAATTAGTTACACTGCCAGTTGATGCCTAAAAATAATTCTTAGGCAGTGCTTGAATTACTTGCCTTCTGTTGAGCTAAATAGTCTCATCATAGCATGATTGATGATTAAATCATTAAAATGGATTTTATATATTATAGCCCAATTCAATATCCTATCATTTTCAAAACACATCCTATGTAGACAAACTTGTATCCTGATATATCTTTTACAGAACCCATATGAAGACCTCAGAACTAATGAATTAGCACTATGCAGTTTATTCTCCAATTATTGTACTTATCAAAGAAAGCCATCTGTGGTCTTTGTTTTACTGAGTTTTGGGGAAACAGATCACATACAGGCCTCATGGGAAAGTTATAATTATGAGACCAAAAGGCTTTTTACAAGGTATGATACAAAAGAACAGACAATAAATCTCTTCAGTTTTGTACCTTCATCCTTAGATACTGCACATCACAAATTCCCCCCCTTGCTATTCAGTTTCAAGTCCTCTGTTGCATTGTTTCTTTCTTCGCTCATTTGTACCTTCCTGTTCATATTTCTCTCTTTTCTCTGTGCTATAGCAACAGAACTGGAGTCTAAGTTTCAAACTGCTGGCAAAATGAAGATGCTAACACTTGAAAATGTTCTCGTGTGTGTGTCCAGCAGGGCTAGGGTAAGTGTCCTTTCATGTGTATTGGCCCATGTTCTTGTGGCTGTAGGTACAGACATATGATGCAGTGGATGGTTTTCTCTCTATTATAATTATCAGGCTAGTAGGTTTTGGACAGGTGTCCACCTGCTGAAACATATCCCGAATGGTACTGGCACGTATGTACTGCCTAATCAAGAGTGTACCCTATTCCAAACCCAGCCTGAGGAGCTATGTCGGTTATGTGCGTGATTGCTTCAGCTTGTTAAGCTGTGGGACAGTGAACCAGGGGAAAAAGAGTCTGGGCAAAGAAACATTTCAATCTTCAGGAAGACACCTCTTTCTTTGATTGCCCTGAATAAT